ACTTCACTCAATGAAATCCCAATCAATCCATAAATTTTATATAATGTGGGCCCCCCCCCCCCTTTTTTTTGGTTGATATTCTGTCTCTCAGCATTGAAATGATGCTGCTATAAATATTAGAGACTGTTCATTTCTTTGCATATGAACAAACTTACAAATTCAGCAGGAGATCAAATAATTATTTCCCTGACTGAATTTGTTTTTCTGTCAGATTTGGAGAAACTTGACTTCGGTGCTGTGTCCGGTGAGTATGGGTGTTTTGTAAAGCATAATTTAACTTTTTAAATTTGAAGTATTATAGATTGATACAAAAGAATATTGTTTGTGTTTTCGGATTGCGTTATCAGCAGTACTCCAAAGTGTCCACAAGAGGTCTCTCAGGTCCACAATAACAAATCATAAAAGGTCATACAGCAGAAAACACATCTGGTAAAAGTGTATAGAATGGTTTTACCTCAGGGACTCCAGGACCGCGGCCACCCGCAGCACATGCTCCGCCCAGGTGTCGCTGTGGATGATCACGTCATCCAGGTAGGCGGCAGCATACGCTGCGTGCGGACGCAGTACCCGGTCCATGAGACGCTGGAAAGTGGCCGGGGCCCCGAACAGGCCAAACGGAAGTGTCACGAACTGGTACAAACCGTACGGAGTGGAGAAGGCCGTTTTCTCCCTGGCCTCGGCAGACAAGGGAATCTGCCAATAGCCCTTGGTTAAGTCCAGTGTCGTGAAAAAGCGGGCCGTGCCTAACCGGTCCAGGAGCTCGTCGACCCGAGGCATGGGGTAGGCATCAAAGCGTGACACTTCGTTCACCCTGCGATAGTCGACACAGAACCGTATAGACCCATCCTTCTTCGCCACCAGAACGATGGGGCTACACCAGGCGCTGTGCGACTCTTCTATTACTCCCATCCTCAGCATTTCCGCCAATTCCCTCTGCACGATTTTTCGCTTATGCTCCGGGAGCCTGTAGGGCCGTGAACGCACCGTCACGCCGGGCTGCGTCACGAAATGGTGCTCGATGAGGGACGTCCGGCCGGGCAGGGGGGAGAACACGTCCGCAAAACGCTGTTGCAACGCGACAACATCCGCTCTCTGGGCCTGTGTGAGATGGTCATCACAAGGGAGGGAGGTGGGAATGATAGAATTTGGCACCTCAGGCCCCAACTCATCTCTCTCCTTCACCAAGCTCACCAGAGAAGCGGTTTCAACCTCTCGCCACAGTTTGAGGAGATTGAGGTGATAAATCTGCGTGGCTCCTCCCCTGTCCGACCGAGCGACCTCATAGTCCACGTCCCCGACTCGCCGTGTGACCACAAAGGGTCCTTGCCACTTGGCGAGCAACTTCGAGCTGGAAGTAGGGAGTAACACAAGCACTTTATCTCCCGGTGAAAATTGCCTGAGCCTAGCCCCTCTGTCATACAGGCGTTGCTGACGCTGCTGAGCCTGGAGCAAATTCTCCCGTGACAACCTCCCCAAAGTGTGGAGTTTTGCTCTCAGGTCCAACCGCTCACTGGGTCCCATACAGACACGGACCCACAACCAAAACAGATTTAAAACCTGATGGGCGCTTCTATTTTAATTGGCGCAGTTTTTCTGCTCTTTACGGTAGCGGCTCTGTGGCTGAAGAAACACAGGCAAATTGGATGCAAGTTCAGCCACTCAGTCAATTAAATTTGTGCATTCCGGGTGCTAAACACTTGGACTCTGCAGCCCTGACAGCGTAGAGTTACATGTGAAAAGAGTAGAAAGAAGAAGAAAGACGGCAATGTAGAAAAAAAGGGAGAAATACAGACGATAGCACTGGAGAAAGTGGAGAAAAAGAAAATAGAAAAACAGTGAATTGAAGAAAGGGAGCGAAAAATCAGGAAAAAATATGGCTGTGCAAAAAAAGAAACATGGAAAGAGAAAATAGAGCATTTAATGAGTAAATGCTGGACTTCTCCATGCAGTCGGTTGATCGCCTAATAAAACAAAAAGGGGAAATACAAGCCAGTGTTGAAAAGAGAAATAGAGGCCCACAATTTGCTGTTCACATTCGCACTCGGTTAAATGAAACTTTTGCTGCCGAATCTTTGGACTTTAAAGTCTTTTATTCGCAAGACGTTCTCATGCAGCCGCGTCCACAACCAGCTGGCCAATCAGGGTCTGAGGGTGGTAGATCGCTGGTTTGACCGAATAAGATTTAATGCCCAGTTAATCGTAGCAGTTCCCTCGCGCTAATAAGGACCAAGAGGGGCAGAAATTGTACAGAGACACAATGCCTTGTTTCTTCCATTATTATTAATAAATATACGATGTCAATTGTCTCACTGTTATCATTTAGGTTTGACTTTTCTCGGAGATTATCATGTGGCACCTGAGAACTTTTCGTGGAGACTGACGGCTGAAACTTCACATGTGCTTTTCTGTGTATTTCTGCGCAGCAACTCTTGCAATATGACACGAGGACGATTGCGTTTGCGCTGTCAGCGAACTTGTCTTCGGTGTGGAGCAAATTTGTTAGTGTGCGCCATTTTTAACGATGTCACTAGTCAGAACATATATGTTTAGTGCTGTTGCTGATAATCCACCAGGAATGTTGCGTGACTAAACACTACAGAGTAAGTCGGATAAGCCGGTGCATTCCGGTTGAAACGGTTCCCCGTATGGAGTGTTCCATTTTATATAACTTACATATGCACGTGGCGCTCATAAACAGGGGCCTCAATGAGGGGGAGAGGGCGCAGCGGCGCCTTCGGTATGGCCGGCTGGTTAACAAGTTGGCAGTCCGGGCAGGACGCACACCAGCGGCGCACATCCGCTCGGATGCCCGGCCAATAAAATCGGGCTGTTATTCGCTCCAGAGTTTTCTCATAGCCCTATGCCTCTGCACGTCTGTTGGGGTTATAGTGGGTAATGTGGCCTGTGCTGGAAAGAGAACGTTTCCCGATTGCGGCGACCATCTGCGGCGCACATCCTTGTGAATAACAACTGGGTTGTTGTGTTTCCTCTGCTCTTGAGTGTCACGACATCAAACTCAGATGAATATACGGTGTTCGGTTCTCTCGCAGGCTGTCCGTTAATGACGAAACAACGTCCCGGTTATGAAAAGTTTTGCGCGGCCTTTTATCAGGGGGGCGCATCCAACGTGACTCATAGCAATTAAGCCATGACCTTGGTAAAGGCTGAAGCGCTCCTAGGGTGCCGTCACGGAGACTGCTCCAGCTGAGGAAAAGTCATCCACCATAAGGGGTGACAACTCTCCCGGCGAGTCCTGAAACGGAATTGAAAGCTTCCCGTTGAGGGACCCGCCGAAGCTCCTGCCCCCGGTAGTTCAAGTAGTTTCGGAACGCAGCATTATTATCAGACTGAAACAGATAATGATTCAGATTTAAATGTGATTGATAAATGAAAATCTTGAAAGCGTCATCGAGTCCCAAATTTGGCTTGAATCGGCCGCGCACTTTAAAAGATACTTTGCACACAATGAAATTAACTCTGTTAGTTCGTCTATCCGTCGTTTTATTTGATGTTGTATAATCGGCAACCGCCGCTAATCATTAATTTATTTAATACCTGTGGCTGACTGGCTCCATACTGCCCCCAGTAGGCTGATGAAACCCAGTCGGCCCAATTGGTACCCCAGAATTAGGGAGAGATAAGCGAACGCATGGTATGCGCGAGCGGCCAGTGGGTCTTAAAACGAGTGCACGCCATGTCTATGCTGTTTCTATGTAAGCTTGTTTGTGGCCCTTTATAACATTTAATATAACAGACGGCAATAAGTTAAAGACTAATAGGGTATAATTACTACCTTTATGAACGTCTTACTCATATTAGCAAGTAAACCTACAAGCAATTGTATATGTATAATTGTTGTTTAAAAAAACGTTCACATTGTAAGGTTTTTACAGAATGTTTCCAGGGTGGACACACCCTCACCAATGTTCAGTGTCCAACCACATTCTGCTCAGCAATGCCCTTCGGGGCGATGACCTTGATCTGCTTGGTGTGTTGGTGTACGAGGGTTGCTGCTGCTGACAGTATTCTTCGCGTGTCGCACCATCGCCTGGCGTATTAAGTTACACGACCGCCACCATACTGACGGGTCCTCCTATAACGCGGAGGGCAGCGAATTGCTTTCCTCTTTACTCAGTTGGTTGCGGAATACTGTATTGTCCTGCCTGTGAGGTCCAAGGGCAAAGGGTGCCTTGAGGTGTTCGGCACAGATACCACACAACTCGAAAGCAATAACGAAGTTTTCCTTCACCTGCCCGCACTTCCAATAAAACAGCGGAAAGTTTTCACAATCCCCTGCCTCAAGGTGCCCCCGCGCTGTCCGCTGCACGTTTTACCAACAACTAGAGTGTTGCAGCTGCATAGCTAACTGTGTTTTCGATTAATGAAACTTTACTTGAGAAACTGGATTATTTTATCTGTTGTTTATGACAGGTTCTCCATGGGCGATCGTTGTGTAGCAACCGTGTTGTCATCCTGACAAACGAAAAAGGCTAATCCCGGCCCCGGGCGCTCTCGATGGCTGCTCTAACGTTAGGAACTCAGGCGGCGCGCTCACACTTTGGCCTCGAGACTACACACCACACTGGAAAAACATAATGGTGTCTCCACTGTTTCCCCTCTTGGTATGGTCAATACCACACAACTTAAGAGCGACGCGAAAGGGTTAGTGGGGGCGTCAGCGGCCCGGGAGGGCAAGCCGACTCAACACCTGTATCTGCCCTGGTGCTTAGATGGCTACGTGGCGTCAATCGGGGCCTTGAGCAACAAACTCAGGGCCACCTGTTTTGTACTCGGTTTAATTCATTACTCCTTTCTAAAAGACCATGTATCCTACTCGCGTCTATTCTCCCTGCATGAGGGTCACTAACTGCACTGCCCAGCGGCGTATCTAAGGTTGTGTCCTTTGGCACTCGTTGACCGCACAGCGCTACAGTGAATAGAGCTAAAATCAGATTCACAAAAATATCTTAATGTGGTGATAGCAGTGTCCATCAAAACCAATGCACGCCACGCAGTGGCAAGACCGGAGCTCACCACAGCGTTTCGGCGTGAGAGTCTCCAAACATCGAAACCACGTGAAGTATTGCAAGGCCAAGACCGTCATCCAAGCTTGCGGTTGACCGGAGTCGAAGAAACCAACAGTAAAATAGTTAGACTGTCTGACTTGACAGTAACAGGTAAGTGAAGAGAACTAATCGTGAAATTTGGCCTCTAGAGATGAGAGACCTGCCTATTCTCTTTAGGGCGACGCGCGTTCTCGACCGCCTAAAGGCGCTGCGCATAATTTCTCCCTTGGTGTGTCCTCCGCCAGCGTCACCGCTACCTCCAAGCTTGCGGGCCGGTGGCACCGGACCCATCTCGCCGTCTCCGCTGGCAATCCCTCCGTGAACTGCTCCAGCACCACCTTGTCCACCAGCTTCGTCTCCCCCTCCGATGTTCCCGGTTGCAGCCAGCGTACCGCCGCGTCGCGCAGCTGCCGGGCCCAGGCGAATGGTCGGTCCGTTGTAGCCAGCCGACAGGCCCGGAACCGCCGGCGGAGCCCTAGCCTGTCCACCACCGCCCGGCTCACGTCCGCGAAGCTGCTCCTCGACGCCGGAGGCAGACTCAGGGCCGCTGTTTGTGCCTCCCCGGACAGCAGGGGGAGCAGCCGCGGAGTGTTTGTGCCTCCCCGGACAGCAGGGGAAGCAGCCGCGGAGCCCACTCCTCCCGCGGCCATTGGCAAGCCTCCGCCGTGGCACGGAAGGTCTCCAAGAAAACCTGTGGGTCGTCCCCGTCCCCCATCCGGGGCACCGCCACCGACAGTGGCGAGGGCTTCGGCGTGGCAGCGGCCCCGACCAGCCGCTCCAGAACCTGCGTCTGCCGGTCCGTCTGCTCCCGCAGCGCGGCCAGGTGGGCACGCTGGTCGGCCGCCTGGTCCCGGCTCATCGTCGCCATCTCCGCCAGCATCTGCGCCAAGAATTGCAGAGGCTGGGCGGGTGGCGCGGCCTGTGGGTCGGACATTTCCCCACCGGCACTCTCCTGGGTTTCGGCACCACTTGTGGAATACACCAGGCACAGACACACGCACACACAGGTAGGTACAGCCAACTTCCACATTTATTCAAGTGTTTGTTGTTTTGACAGCTGACTCAGTCACACAGTCTGACAGCTCACGAGCCCAGCTGATCTCTCCCTGGCCGCTCCTCCTCGTCTCACTATAAACACAGCGGAGGGAGACCATCATCAGTCCATAAACAACATCA